TACCTAGCTTTAAATTTACGTGTTAACAAATGACTCAGCAAAATCCACTCTGAGATATATATCCAAGAGAAATTAAAACACACATCATAAAAACTTGTATGCAAATGTTCATAGCCACATAGCTGATTGACATTTGGTTTATTTCCACTTTTGGGCTATTATGAATAAATCTGCTATATATATATATATGAATATATATATGAATATATATTATAAATAATGCTATATATTTACATGTGCATGTACACACACACACACACACGAATACTATTTGGTCGTAAAAAAAGAATGAATTACCAATACATGCTGCAACATGGACCAACCTTGAAAACATTATGCTAAGTGAAGGAGGCCAATCACAAAAGACCACATGTTGTATAATTCCATGTGTATGAAATGTCCAGAAAAAAGCAGATTAGTGGTTGCCTAGGGCTAGGGAGGGAGGGACAACGTACAGCAGTATACTCAGTGCTTTAGCTTGGATTCAGAGTATATTGAAGGAGGAGGTTACTATGAGCCTAGCTACTCTATGTGCATCTCCTTATCTAATACTAGATAAGTAGGCCACCTCTCCTGCTGTACCGTACATCACACACACACACACACACGAATACTATTTGGTCGTAAAAAAAGAATGAATTACCAATACATGCTGCAACATGGACCAACCTTGAAAACATTATGCTAAGTGAAGGAGGCCAATCACAAAAGACCACATGTTGTATAATTCCATGTGTATGAAATGTCCAGAAAAAAGCAGATTAGTGGTTGCCTAGGGCTAGGGAGGGAGGGACAATGGAGAGTGACTACTACTGGATATAGTGTTTCTTTTTGGGGTGATGAAAATCTTCAATTTTCACAACTCTATGAATATACTAAGTATCATTGACGTGTACGTGTTAAATGAGTGGACAGTATGGTATGTGATTAAATATCTCAATAAAGTTGTTTTTTTAAATGTATGTATTAATATATTATGGTCTATTAAGACTCCTGCAAAAAACGTGAATGTGACTCACTCCCTATTTTTTAGAAAATCTGTAATACTGCATATTTCTTGAGGCTATGCTGTTAAATAACAGAATGTTCAGGACAATTATATTTTCTTGGAAAACTGTACCTGTTATTAATATAAAATATCCTTCTTTGAGTTATTTAATCCTTTTTGCCTTAAAGTCTATTTTGTTTGATATTCAACATTGCTATGACTGTCTTTACATTCATGGGGAATATTTTTCTCCAAACTTTTAGTATCAAGGTTGCTTTTTTTCTTTTGAAGTATCTCTTGCACATATTCTGCTTAGAGCTATATTTTATTTTTAAAAGTCTGAGGTTCTATTAATAGGTTACATTTTTTCTTTTTTCTTTTTTTGGTCTTTTTTGTGACCGGCCGCACCGCGCTCAGCCAGTGAGTGCACCGGCCATCCCTATATAGGATCTGAACCCATGGTGGGAGCGCTGCTGCGCTCCCAGTGCCGCACTCTCCCGAGTGCGCCACAGGCTTGGCCCCTGAGGTTCTATTAGCAGGGGAATTTAACCCATTCATTTTTACCTACTACCTATTCCCATCTTCCTACATTTTGTTGTTTACTTATTTTATTTTATTTTCTCTGCCTTTTGTTGGAATAATAAACTTTTTGTATTTTACTTCCATGATTTATATTAAATATCTTATTTGTGGTTGTTCTTCATATATTTCAGACTACTTTTTTAAGAAAATCAAATTCTAGAGGTAATCTATATCTGAATCTTTTTCCTGAAAAAGAATCCCAATGCTTTATCACTACTTAAAGAATCCCAATACTTTATCACTATTTTTTCTTGTACTCTCCCATGCTCAGCTGATCTGATCCAGACTTAAATATATAAAGATTAACGTTACAAATAAAAAAAGAAAACTATGAGACTCACTTATACATTTTACTGTGCATGTGCATGTGTGTGTATATTTTTAAGCTCACCACTGTTTCCCATATCATGTCTTTCCCTTCTTTGGACACCCCCTCCGTTTTTTGGACAGGAGTAGTTCCATAGATTCTTTCAAAGAAGATCTGTAACAATCAGGGAAGGTGAATTGCTACAGGTTCAAAAATGTTTTTATTTTCCTCTCATACTGAATTGATGGTTTGCTTGAATATAGAATTATGGGTTCAAAATTATTGGTTCAAAAAGTTTTTCCCACAATGTTAAAACTACTGCATTTCTACCTTCTATCATTTATTTTTACCAATAATAGGACTAATGTCAATCTGATTCCTTCCCTTGTAGATATACTGTGTTTGCTTTCTGGACACTTTTAATCAGTTCCTCTTTATCAATTTCTGAAATTTCATAAGGCATTTGAGTGTAGGCCTAGGCCTTCTGTTATCCTTTTATTCAGCACTCACTAGGCATTTTCAAAAGACTTGTCCATCTTCAGTTTAGGGAAATTTCCTTCTATTATTTCTGTGCTCATAACTCTCCTCCATTCTCTTTATTTGGATCTTCTATCAGATGGATATTGAAGCTTCAGAATGTCTTGTAAACTAAAGCTTCAGAATGTCATGTGACTTTTTGTTCATACTTTCCAACTTTTTCAGTTGAAGACTGCATTCTGAAGAATCTCTTAGCTCAGTCTTTGATTTCATTAATTTGCTTTTAACTGTGTTCACTCTATTTAGACCATTTATGCATTTTTTATCTGGACAATCGTATTTCTGAATTCTAAGATATCTGATTGGTTTAATTTCATTCTACCTCATGTTTGTTTATAAATGCAGCAACCTCTCATCTCTCTGTGAATATTAATTTTACTTATTTCAAAGTCTCTGTTGCCTATTCATTGCTTCATTGGGTGTTATTTTTTAAGTTTGGTGCCTTGTTTTTCTATCACAGATTTTGCTCAAATGTTTGATTCTTAGTAGGAAGATCATTTCAGAGTCCCTATTTGTCTGTCTATGTATGCTCTTTCTGTTTACTATTATCTGTCTCCAGTGATAATGTACGAAATGTGGGACATCATGCCAGATGCCATGTACATGTCAGGAGTTTTTGTCTTCTCAGTATTAGGCTCCTTGAGCATCCTGATAATCAAAGACCTCTTGAGGTATCTCCCAGCCTCTCTGGCCTGTGTTATACTCAGTGCTTTAGCTTGGATTCAGAGTATATTGAAGGAGGAGGTTACTATGAGCCTAGCTACTCTATGTGCATCTCCTTATCTAATACTAGATAAGTAGGCCACCTCTCCACTACTTGAATCTGACTGGTTTGGCTCTACCTGGAACTACACCTACCTCGAGAACACTATTGACCTATATATGTTTTGAGCTGTGGCTCCATCAAGTTTTATGTCTCTGTGGGTGTAATTCCTCATATTTAGTATCTTTCAGGAATTCCTAAAATTTCTATCCACTGATGGGATCCCTTCTTATTTTACCAGGCTGTTGAATAAATTATCAATTTATTCATATAAATATGTGTTTACATAGGTACAGATACACATGTACACCTTTTCTGTCATCTCGTGGGATTTGGAGTTGTAGATATGCTGGTGGTGGTGGTAGTGTAGTTAAAGAATATCATGAGCTCAGCCTTTCATCTCGACTACTTTCCCAGTTTCATTTTTTGCTGAACGGTGTGTACTCCAATGCTAATATGGCTATTTCTCTTAACCTCAGACTTGTATATCCAACTCCTATTTGACATCTTCCTTTGGATTTCTTATAGGCATCTCATGTCCAAAACTGAATTACTGATCTTACCCTACCAAATCTCTCTATTCAGGCATCATCCACATATCAGAACCCTTAGAGCAAATTCTTAATGATTCTCTTTCCCTCACTTATCACCAAGTAGTCTACACAAAACAGACTTAATTTCTTTTCATTTTTACTGCCATTAAATTGTTGCTTTGCTGCTGATTCCCTGGGGAAGGCTTTTTGTGCAGCTCAGGTTTTAATGATTGACTTTACAGGTACTTCTGCGTCTCATGAGATGTGGTACACCTAGGTTGTGTGGAAACTCTGGTCTGGGCCTGAGTCTTTTCATCAAACTGCACCCCATGCAATTCTATATTCCTGACCAGTCTCCACTGAGTGGTCCTGTGCTGATTGGGGGGCAGATCAGCTGTGCCCCATGGGGCAGGCCATGTGCTGGTCCCTTGCAATGACTCACTGGCCTCTGAGTGGCTCCTTTTTTCAGCTGTCTGTGGCTCTTTGCTTCTACATGGGTCCACTGGAACCGTGTTAGTAGTCTTGCTGGCCTAGGGGCCACCAAGGCCCTCTCCTCCCCTGCCGCCTCCAAGCAACTTCATCTGAAGGGCACAGCTGAGGCCTTTGCCAACTCCTGCTCTGTGCACTCACCAGGGCCAGCCTTGAAATGGATTGAAATGGTCGGAGTGTTTCTTTATTTCATCATGAATTCTCCTGCCTTCATGCACTCTGTAGGTCTCTCCTCCTCTTCTCCTGATCCTTAGAGGCCCCAGCTTGGCTGTTGTTGTTTTTTAATAGTTGTAAGTTGATGTGTGGGAGAGAGTGATTCTGAGGACCATCTATTCTGCCATCTTGACCGGAAGCCCTCCAATTTTAAGTCTTGATCAAAATCATTAACACTAGGGGCCGGCCCAGTGGCGCACTGCTACAGTGCGCCGCTTGAGAGAGCAGCGGCGCTCCCGCCAAGGGTTCGGATCCCACATACAGACTGGTTCTCGCTCACTGGCTGAGCGAGGTGCGGGCGCGACACCGAGGGTTGCGATCCCGTTGCCGGTCCCGGTCCGGTACGGGTGCGACACTGAGGGTTGCGATCCGTTGCCGGACACGAAAAAAAAAAAAAATCATTAACACTAGAAAAAATATTTTTTTCTCCTTCCCTAATAACTTAGAATTCCTAACTACCTTCCCACAAACTGTAAAACCTTTGAAAATGGGAATCTACTCCCACTGACTCTTAATTACTATGCCAGGTTTGAGTACTGTTCTTTGTATTGATGGATTTCATAAATTAAATGATTTGCATTGCTTTACCTGATACATTCCAACTCCAATGTGCTTCGGCTCAATTTTCACTAGCTCAGCTAATGGATCTTGTACACGTCTTGCTATGGAAACTGAAAAAATAGAATCAGAAAACAAGTATGACTTAATGTGAAAAGCAGTGCCCAGATAGTTACTTATGTTAGTTCCTCATAATGTAACTACTTAATCCTGTGCCTGCTCCTCCTCAATCTGCCAAAGACCAACATTTTAACTAAGTTTCAAAACTCCCTCTCCCCCCCCCCACAAAATGTAAATGCAAAATTTCAGGATTATGTCACCAGAACTCCTAGGCATTCTTGAGCAAAACTAGGTGGAAAGGATCATAGATTTAGAAAAACAAATAAAACACTTAGTTCTTATACCTACACAATTATCTGTTCATTTTTTAAATAAAGCGTAATAGAGAACCTCATGCTTTAAAAAGCAAGAAGATATTTGCTTTTACTTTTAAGTAATCCTGCATTATTATAGATATGACATTTATATGTCAAATATGCTTATTAGGACTACATCCCAATAATAATGAATGAATGATGGAATCATATCTTAATGCAACCAGAGACCAAGTCACTTGGCTACTGAATTCACTTGCATGGTCTTGAATATGATTGCAAGCTTGCCCTGGGAGGCGATCTCCTTTGATTCCCAATTGCCTGTCTCTTAACAAACACACAGTTATTACATTCCTTTCTTGACCATCACAATCCATGTTCAAGAAACCTGAACGTTAACTTCAAACATTCCTTTATCTATGTCATGATTTTATTTAGTTTATAAGATAGATTTAGCTAGGAAAAAGATATAACATTTATTATGATTCTTACAGATACTTCTAAAGGCAGCTCCTCCCCATCTCCCATTGTCTTTATTTCCTCCAAATAGGTTTTTTCTCCCCAGAGTATTTCGGCATCTGCCTTTAATAATGTAAGTTTCTCTTACATGTTAGGTGACCCTTCATTGTCCACCGGGGGGCAGGGTACTGAAAAGACAACTCTAAGTGTTTTGCTCAAAGGCAAGGCTTGTCAACTGCAGGCTTCACTATACAGTGCTCTGGCCATTTCTTTGTGGAACCTCTAATCTGTTTCTTTAAATGTTTTCTCTTGTGTTGGTCAGAGTCCCCTAATCTGCAAGGAAGGTTTATTCCTCTTTAAGGTCTCTATAACAGCTGTAAATATTTACTTAACCCCCCCTTTTTTCCAGTAGATATCCCACTATCATTTATAAGCTATGTCGTGCATTGTAGGGACCTTCCATTTAAATCTCTCCAGAGAACAAATTTCCAGTCTTCTTCAAAGGTAGAAAAAGAACAGTTACTCAACTGTGTGGAAGGGGAGATCTAATTGTTGTTATTTTACTGAGTTGAAATTCACATAATAGAAAATTAACTAACATGTAGAAATCAATGCTACTTAACATATTTACAATGTTGTATGACCACTACTTCTATCAAGTTTCAAAACATTTTCATTATGGCAAAAGAAAACCCTGTATGCATTAAGCACTTTCCATTTCCATCTCTCCCCAGTTACTAACAACCACCAATTGGCTTTCTGTCTCTACAGATTTGTCTATTCTGCACATTTCATATAGATGTGATGATATAATATGTGGTCTTTTGTGACTGGCTTTTTTCACTTAGCATAAAGTTTTCAAGGTTCATACATGTTGTAGCATGTAAAGTACTTCATTCTTTTTATGGCTGAATAATATTCCATTGTATGGATACACCACATTTTGTTTATTCATTTATCTGCTGATAGACATTTAGGATGTTTCCAGCTTTTGGCTGTTGTGAATAGTGCTGCTATGAGCATTTGTGTGCAAGTATTTGAGTACCTGTTTTCTATTCCTTTGACTACATGCCTAGGAGTAAAATTGCTGGGTCATATGGTAATTCTATGTTTAACTTGATGTCATTGCTTTTTAAACAGACTTTCAAGCAATCCTCTTATTTTAGATCCTCCCTCAACCCTCTCAGCATACTTCCTAAGGTACCTGGTGCCATTTCCTGAACGTATAAGGGTTCTATGATACATATTGGGTTAGCTTTCTATTTTCTACAATGCTGCATTGGGACTCAACTTTCTCAAGTTGGCTACTCATCACTCTTCACAATTTGTTGTTGCTGTTAAGAGTCATCCCTTTCACTCTTTTTGTCCTAGTGGGTTTATGCCTTCATTCTATCATGTTACTGTCATTTTCATGGGATTTCAGATGGGAAGGAATAAAAGGTATCCCAATATCCCATTTTGAATCAGAAATCCATAATAAACATTTCAACATCCTCCATCTACTAGTCTATCCATTCAACTTAAATGTCTCTCATGTACAATATATTTATTGTGGGGAATGTGATCATATATAAAGATAACTTCTGTATTCAATAAGCTGATGAACTGGCTAAGGAGATATAGTAATATGAGGGTCATTTTCTTACATTTGTTTAACACATATATGAATGTTGAGGTTCTATTATATTCTGATATAGTAAACTGATTGAGGGTGTAAAGGTAAAATCCATGTCTGTAGGTAGCTCAGGTCCCAAAGCATAAAGTCATCCCTGGCATCAACCACTAGGAAAGAAAAAGACTTACAGTCAGAAACAGGAATTGAAAAAGAAGTGAGACCTAAAAAGCTAAGAATGAACACTTTGGACTTCTTTGAATATTTGCTCCAGGACCATACTTTAAAGACTCAAAGTGTCTAGGTAGATGTTTTGGGGTGATATGGATTAAACATGATCATGGACACATAGAAGCAAACTGAGACACAAAAGAAAAACATACCAGCAGTAAATAAGAAACTGAAGACACAGCTAGATTTTGAAATCAGAATAATTAGAATCATATCCCTGGTTCAATGAAATAATAGCAGAAAACTTCCCAGGTATTGGGAGAAACATGGACTTCCAGATCCAACAGGCTCAAAGATCTCCAATCAGATTTAACCCAAAAAGGTCCTCTCCAAGACATGTTATAGTCAAACTGTCAAAAGTCAAAGACAAAGAGAGAATCCTGAAAACAGCAAGAGAAAATCATCAAGTCATCTATAAGGAAGCTCCCATCAGACTAACAGCAGATTGCTCAACAGAAACCTTACAGGCCAGCCAAGAATGTAATGATACAGTCAAAGTAATGAAAGAAAAAAAAGGGGCTGGCCACATAGCTCAGTTGGTTAGAGTGCAGCCTTATAACCCCAAGGTCACAGGTTCAGTTCCCCTTACTGGCCAGCCACCAAAAAAAAAAAAAAAAGCTGCCATCCAAGAATACTACACCCAGCAAGGATATCCTTCAGAAATGAAGGAGAAATAATCAACAGTATATTTCCTAAACAAAAACTGAGGAGTTCAACACCACATGACCAGCCCCACAAGAAATCCTCAAGGGAGTCCTGCATCTGGAATCCAACAATAATCACCACTATGAATGCAAGAGATAGAACAAAACCCACTGGTAGAGCAGATACACAATCGAGAAAGAGAAAGAAAATATATCTTACCACTTCAAAAAACCAACAAACACCAAAGACAAACAATAAAAGGAACAGAAAAGATAAATAAAACAAACATACAAAAATCAATAAAATGCCAGGAGTGAGACAATACCTTTCAATAACAACCCTAAATGTAAATTGACTGAATTCCCCAAAAGATATAGACTGGCTGAATGGATTAAAAAAACAAGACCCAACTATATGCTACCTACAAGAAACTCATCTCACCTGTAAAGACTCACACAGACTAAGAGTGAAGGGATGGAAAAAGATATATCATACAAATGGAAACCAAAAACGAGCAGGAGTAGCTATTCTTATATTGGATAAAATAGACTTTATGTCAAAATTATAAAAAGAGACAAAGAAGATCATTATAGTAATATAGGGATCTATCCAGCAAGAGGATATAATAATCATAAATATATACACACCCAACACTGGAACACCCAGATATATAAAGTAAACACTACAGACCTAAAAAGAGAGGCAGGCCATAATATAATAGTAGTTGGGGACCTCAACATCCCTTTCTCAACATTGGACAGATCATTTAGGCAACAAATCAGCAGAGAAAAACATGATTTAATTGTACTTGGTAGACATCTACAGAATATTTCATCCAACACCTACAGAATATACATTCTTCTCATCAGCACATGGAACATTCTCCAGGATAGACCACATGTTAGGACACAAATCAGGTCTCAATAAATTTTAAAAAACTGACATAAAGGGCCAGCCCGTGGCTCACTCAGGAGAGTGCAGTGCTGATAACACCAAGGCCATGGGTTCGGATCCTATATAGGGATGGCCGGTTGGCTCACCGGCTGAGTGTGGTGCTGACAGCACCAAGCCAAAGGCTGAGATCCCCTTACCGGTCATCTTTAAAACAAACAAACAAACAAACAAACAAAGAAAAACCCAAATAATTTCAGGTATCTTTTCATACCACGATAGATTAAAACTAGAGATCCAATAACACGCAGAACTTTCAAAACTATACTAATACATGGAAATTAAACAACATGCTCCTGAATGACCTATGAGTTAAAGAAGAAATAAAACAGGAAATCAAAAATTTCTTGAAACTAATGAAAATAAAGACACATGAAACTAAAACCTATGTGATACTATAAAACCAATACTAAGGATGTTTATTGCAATAAACACAACAAAAAATAGAAAGATTTCAAATAAGCAACTCAACACTACACCTCAAAGAACTAGAAAAACAAGAACAATCCAACTCCAAAATTAGTAGATGTAAAGAAATAATTAAGATGAGAGCACAACTGAATGAAAAAGACACCAAAAAAGCAAGACAAAAGATCAACATTAAAAAAAGTTGTTTTCTTGAGAAGATAAACCATTAGCTAGTCTAACTAAAAAAGAAGAGAAAAGACCCATATAACAAAAATCAGAAATGAAAAAGGAGACAATACAACTGATACCATGGAAATACAAAGAATCATTAGAAAAAAGTATATGCTAACAAATTTGAAAACCTGGAGGAAATGGATAAATTCCTGGACACATACAAACTACCAAGACCAAACCGAGAAGTAATAAAAAACCTGAACGGACAAATAACAAGCAATGAGATAGAAGCAGTAATCAGCAGTCTTCGAACAAAGATAAGCCCAGTACCAAATGGTTTTACTGATGAATACTACCAAATCTTTAAAGAGAAATTAATATGAGTTCTTTTCAAACTATTCCAAAAAATTGAAAAAGAAACCATTCTCACAAACTAATTCTATGAAGCCAGCATCACACTGATACCAAAACTATACTAAGATACAAGAAAAAAAGAAAACTACAGGCCAATATCTCTGATCAACACAGATACAAAAATCCTCAACAAACTATTATAAAACAGCATGTCGAAAAGATGCATCATGATCAAGTGGGATTCATCCCAGGGATGCAAGGATAGTTCAACGTATGCAAATCAATAAATGTGATACACCCCATCAACAAAATCAAGGACAAAAATCATATGATTATCTCAACAGATATCTCAACAGATGCAGAAAAAGCATTTGACAAAATTCAAAATCGCTTCCTGATAAAGACTCTCGACAAATTAGGTATTGAAGGAAAGTATCTCAACACAATAAAAGCCATATATGAAAAACCCACCACCAATATCATTCTGAATGGGAAGAAGCTGAAAGCTTTTCCTTTAAGAACAGGAACAAGACAAGGATGCCCACTCTCACCACTCCTATTTAACATAGTACTGGAAGTACTAACCAGAGCAATCAGGCAAGAGAAGAAATAATGCAAGTCCAAATTGGAAAAGATGAACTCAAACCATCTCTGTTTGTAAATGACGTGACCCTATATATAGAAAAACCTAAAGACTCTACCGAAAAACTCCTAGAGGTGCTAAAGGAATTCAGTAAAGTTGCAGGATACAAAACTAGCATGCAAAAATCAGTAGCATTTTAGCATTTTTATACAAAAGAGACAAACTTGTAGAAAAAAAAATCAAGAAAGCAAGCCCATTTACAATAGTCACCAAAAACCAAAACAAACAAAACCTAGGAATAAATTTAACCAAGGAGGTGAAAGATCTGTACAATGAGAACTACAAATCACTGCTAAAAGAAATTAAAGAGGACAGAAAAAGATGGAAAGACACTCTGTGTTCACGGATTGGAAGAATTAATGCTGTGAAAATGTACATACTACTTAAAGCAATCTACAGATTCAATGCAATCCCCATCAAAATACCAACAACATTCTTCACAGAAATAGAAAAAACAATCCTAACATTCATATGGAACAAAATACCCTGAATAGCCAAAGTAATATTAAGCAAAAAAAATAAATAAATAAAGCCAGAAGCATTACACTACCTGAACTTCAAATTATACTACAAAGCTGTGTCGACCAAAGCAGCATTGTACTGGTATAACACAGAAACACAGACCAAAGGAACAGAATAGAGAACCCAGAAATCAATCCACACACTTACAGCCAACTGATATTTGACAAAAGCACCAAGAACATGCATTGGGGAAAGGACAGCCTCTTCAATAAATGGTGCTGGGAAACCTGGATATACATATGTAAAAGAATGAAACTAGACCTGTACCTCTCACCACATACCAAAATCAATTAAAGACTTAAATATAAGACCAGAAAATATAAAACTCCTAAAAAAACAAACAAACAAACAAAAAAACAAAGACATAGAGGAAACATTTCAGAATTGTAGGACTGAGAAAAGCCTTTATGAATAAGACCCCAAAAGCATAGACAATAAAAGAAAAAATAAATGGGATTATATCAAACTAAAAAGCTTCAAACAATCAACAGAATGAAAAGTCAACCTACAGAATGGGAGAAAATATTTTAAAACCATGTATCTGACAAGGGGTTAATTTCCAGAATATACAAGGAACTCAAACAACTTAGTAAAACCCAAATAATCCAATTAAAAAATGGGAAAAGGAACCAAACAGAGATTTCTTAAAAGAAGATATACAAATGGCCAATAGACACATGAAAAAATGCTCAGCATCACTAAGCATCAGAAAAATGCAAGTCAAAACCACACTGAGATATCATCTCACCCCAATTACACTGGCTATATCAAAAAGACATAGAAGAACAAATGCTGGCAAGGATGTGGAGAAAGGGGAACACTTCTACACTGTTGTTGGGACTATAAATTAGTACAGCCATTACAGAAAACAGTGTGCAGGTTTCTCAAACAACTACAGATAGAACTACCATATGATCCAGCAATCCCACTACTAGGAATATTTAAAGGAAAGGAAATCATGTTGTCGAGGGGATACCTACACTCCTATGTTTTACCACAGCTCTATTTACAATAGCCGAGATATGGAACCAACCGAAATGTCCATCAATGTATGACTAGATAAGGAAAATGTGTTATATACACAACAGAATACTACTCTGCCATAAAAATGAATGAAATTCTGCCATTTGCAGCAACACAAATGAGCTTGAAGAAAATTACGTTAAGTGAAATAAGCCAGGTACAGAAAGAGAAATACTGCATGTCCTCACTCATAAGTAGGAGGGAGGGAGGATGGGAGGAAGGGAGGGTAAAAGGAAGGAAGGAAGGAAGATGACAATATGTTGAACTTTCAGAAGGAGAGAATACAACTGTGGTTACTAGAGGTGGGAAAGGGGGAGTAGGAGGGGTGTTACTGAGAAACTGGTTAATGAACACAAAGAATTATTACATTTTGCAATGATGAACATGCTAATTATTCTGATTTGATCATCACATATTGTACACAAATACTGATTGTGAATTCTGTACCCCACAAATATGTACAATCAATTATGTTTCAAAAATTAAAAAAGAGTAAAAAAAATAATCCAAGCGACTTTACAAAAAAAGAAAGAATCACATCAGGATCCTCCTTTTTAGTATCTACTCTTTTCATAGAGTCTTGTTGGAATGTTGTAATCTTATCTCACCTATAATGCTGTGACAGTTATGCACCCACATGGGCCAGTGGTTAAGAAGAAATAGCAGTCCTTTTAGCAATTGAAGGCCTGAGGGATTGCTACCTCCTAGAAAATATGGTCCAAAAATTTTTGCAACATCTTGTTGGAAGATACTCTTTCAATGCCAACTTGGGAAGTTCTAGATTTTATTTTTATAAAGAAAAGTATGATTTTATTATAGAAGTTAGTTACACAAATATTATGTACACACTTACTGGGTGTGTGGGCTCTTTAAATCTTAGTTTCCTCATCAGGAAACTATTCCTTTACAGTGGGGATAATAATAAATGTCTCACAGAGCAATTGTGAAGATAAAATAATTTTGGTAATATATTTACCACAACATTTCATAATATTACATGCTTAAAAAGATTAGTATTAGCAGCTCCCACTATGATTACTATTTCTACTCCTCCTATTATTATTATTATTACTATTGTTATTACAAGGCAAGCACCAAAAAGCACAGAGTAAGGAGGTAGAGACCATGTTGAGCTGGTGTGATAGGGAAAAGCTTCACAGAAGAAGCAAAATTGTAGCTGGGACATGACTCTGAAAAGATGATCATTTCAAAAGGGATTGCATCATTGAACAAACAATGAAAGGAAACTACAAGTTCTTTTGGATATAAGAACATTTTTATATTTAGATTAATACAAAAATTTTCAAATATATATTTCCAGGTATAAATTTCAAAAACAGCCAATAAAATCTGGTGACAATACTTAAGGAAAAAAATTAAAAGTCCACTACTAACAAAGTAAATTATCTGCCTATCATGCAGAGAAATGCTCTGACCAGATCTAACATTTTGCTTATGATACCAATTGCTTTCACTAGATGTACTGAAGTAGCCTAATTTCTTTACACACAAGATTTTAACTATTCTACATCATAAAAATCAAAGCAATTGAACACAACTAAAATCAAAACAGGATGTTTAAGCAATACACTATCAAATGACAACCTCTATTAGCAAATAAGAAAGACTAGTCATTTGATATATTTAACAGTAAACTGAAAGACTGTGTATGTTCATATATTTGCACTACAAATATTTTATGTTAATGTATTACTTTTTTCCAACAAAAGGCTGTAACAATTAATATTTTGTAATAATAATAATAATAATAATAGACCTTAGATATTTTATTATTTGTATTATTAAACTCTTTGGCACTTAATTTTACTAAAGAATTTTTGGGTTAATTTTTCGTGGTACTCTAGAATACCATGCAGTATTCTTTAAAAACAGTACAATATTCTCCCTCTTTTTTTCCATAATTCCAATTATTAGTCCAACCAACCACTTTCCTTCTAATATTCCAATTCTTATACATATGATAAATTTTCTTGAACATTTAAAATATTTAGCTTTCCATACATGCAAGCCCAAAATATCAAAATCACTTGCTTTTGTGGTGGCCCATAGTTTCTTACCTGCACTTCTCAAATTAGGATCCAGCCCTGGCATCTCTTTGTTAGCTTCAGGACTGACACTGTAGATTGATGCTCCTGCTTCACTGACAATACTGAGAAAAAAAGAAAATGGGAAATATCACTTTCTAAACTTTCTGCCTAGTCAAAGAAAATAAATGAATGAAACTAGGTATGACAAGAAAAAAAAAATAGGAGGGCAAAATGCTCTCTTCATATCTCAGTGAGACCCATAGCATCTAATATTTCATTAATATAAAGTGATTAAACAATAATTGTTTTCTTCACATAGGAAATACACAGGCTTAAATCCACAATGAATTCATTCAGTTGTTTTCCCTGCCACTGGTAACAAGAGATGGCTTATACATCTGATCTTTGACAAAGGCACCAAGCCTATTCAATGGGGTCGGGACT